CTCTCCCCACCCCTCCCCTCCCCTCTCCGCTCCTCTCTCTCTTCTCCTCTCCTCTCCTTTCCTTTTCTTTTCTTCTTGTATAATCACATCTGTAGCATCGTGTTTCCTGACCATTTCTGATGATGAATGAACTGTGCTACTGATAATTTGGTGGAAGTTACTTCATATGTGTAGACAGTGGACATTTAGTCTGACTTTATCCTTTGAGTAAATGTTTCTAGATTTTCTAGAAAATAAATTGCTATTTTACTGAAAGAAATTATATGTGTTCTTTGCTTCCCTTTGCCACCTCAGGAAGATGTACTTTACATGTAACAGTTAAACACATCAGGGTTAGTTTGGATGCTCTGTCTTCAATCCTTACATATTTTTAAAGTCAGGTTTATCACTGATATCACAAATGCTTTGCAGTCACAGCAGTAACATTTCTCCAAAAAAGTTTATGGCAGTGTCAGAAGGATCAAACAAAACTTGTACGCCCCATTTTTCTCTCAGATTTTTAGATGATGAAGGAAGTATTACTGGAAATAGAGATATATGGTCATAGACATATTTTTCTCTTGTTTATAATTTTAAACTAAATTTTAAAAATATGATTGTCATAAGATAGTTCAGAGGTGATATTGGATTAGAGCTGGATAAGTATTGAAATCATGCAGTACAATTAATGTGCTACCATTTAAATTAAGCGTTTTGAGGGTTTTCATAGGAAGGAAAAAGATTTATCTTGATTTTATAGTTGCTGAAGCAAATTTCTTCTGACACCACAAATCCTACTTGTTATCATTGAACACCTTGTTATCACTAAACACTGAAACTATTCATAAGTGCTTGAGTATAATAAAAATACCACCTTCCTCTATGGTTCTAATTTAGATGGTTTGAAATATCTGAGAGAAATTCTCATGGTATTGTGTGGCCTCTCTCAGCCACACAATAGATATCTATTTGCTCTATCTACCATGTGCCAATCATTTTTAAGACTTTTTAATTGAAATCCATTACTCGCTGTGTGTCTTATCTCATCATATTACAAAAGGGAAGCATAATGACATCTTGCAAAAGAAGAAATGAAGAAACTTCCATTGTTTTAAAAGTAAAATGAAATATGCATTTTTTTCTCTTGAATTGAACAACAAATTAATTTTCTTCATTGGGTAAAATATATATTCTTTTCCAATAGAATAGATGTTTTAAGTGTGAAAATGTTTAGTGCATATTATTAGTCACTCAGAATTTTTATTCATACTGTTGATTTTTAAAATATTGGGTAAACTATCTAATTAATATCATGTACAATTGTGTTGTGTTGTTATTTCCAAATCTGGAGATCCTTAGGAAAATAAAAGAATATGTGAGGATGTTTTGGGGGGTATTTCAGAGGAAAAAATTGGAGTCACAAGCTGTAAATGGTGGTATGAGGGGGAACCAAATATTCAGCACATACAGGAGATCCATTGGGAAGCTTTTAATGCCAAACCCAAGACCTCAGCAGCCTCAGGACAGAGGATTTTATGGGAACCATATCTGCCATTCCATGCCATGTGGGGTGCACATATTTTCACATGAGGATTAGGCAGCAGATTCTTCTCCCTGAGTCACAGTTCTATGTAACTCAGCCTAAACTTAGGGTATCCACACAAGGAAAGACAAAGGTTGCTATAGTGGTTGCAAATGGATTATTTTGATGAGCATGGTGTCATTCAAAAGAGTGATAATATGAATATAGCTGATAGGCTGATCAAATTGAGCGGTGGTTTCTGAGTCCCATTGAAACAGCTTAAATAGGACCAGAAATGAAAATTTCTGATATTTATATCCTTGCAATTAAGCAGGTCAAAACCTCAGAAGACATGGGAATGGTGTTGTTGCTAAAATATTCCACCAAGTAACTTTTGCTTGTTGCTTCTATGGTATTAGAAAAGGTCAGGTTATCCTGATTCAGTGGAGGACTAACATGAACTTAGGTTCCTAAAATTCCGGTATTGATCTGTCAACAGTTACTAGCCTAGCTTGCAGGGGCTGCTTCCTAGCAGGTCCAGGACTCTAGTTATGATTTTCTTATCTCTTTGATATACACAAATTTCTTTCCATTTTTCAGATGATTTTGGTTATTCCCTTAGAAAACTGACAAGAGCAATCTGAGAGATCTTAAATTTCCCAGGAAGACATCTGATTCTGTGTTAAATTCAGTATTTGATGAGCACACTATTTTTAAGACTGGGTCCTTCCTCATATGTCTGCAGTTCTAATTTTCCAGCTAAGAAAAAAGAAATTGTATTGGCTATTTTTTGCTATCAGCCTCTTGCTGTCACTGAGAAACAAATTACCTTTGCAAAATTTCTTCATCTTTGGACTATTAGTTTCTTTGTTCCTAAGGTTTTATATCACCATTTCACTGCATTTAAGGTTGTCAGTTTGAGTCTCCCATGTAAAACATAACTACATTATGGGTAAAAAGAATTATTCCAGAGAAAATTATTATACATAAGGAAGTACATTTGCTAAAGATCAGAGTTCTGTATAAAAAGAAAATTGAATACCAGCTTGAGAAAATATCTCATGGCTTTAATAAATTCATCTTGCTATGTAACACATGCATTTTCTGCATAGAATAAATTGGTGTAATTTGAGGTTCTATTTGGCTGCCATGTTAGTAAGCCAGAATGTTACTATTAGTGATATTTAAAGTATGAAGATACCTATATTCATTTGTAATCAGACTTTTTTTTTAATTTAGAAAATTGTACAGAGGTAAAGTTCTACTTGATATAAGGCAACCACTGTAGTTGCAAATGACAGAAACATTCAAATGAAAAAAATTAAGTCATCTAACCTAAAAATATTATGATAATGTATGGTCATTTTTAAGCCTAAATGAAGAATGTAAGCAAAGAGGAAAAGAAAAAATAAGATAGATTTTGTATGATCTGTTAGAAATAAATTATATTCTATCCTATTCATTTTTACACACATAATGAGTGCAAAAAATCTGACAGCATTGCCGTGTCTCTAATTCTATCTCTGCTTCTACCTGGATCTGTTTCTACATTTACCCTACTCCATTCACAAACACAAATGTGATTAATCACAAATGTTTATGAAAAATTGATGAAAATGAATAGAACTATAAAAAGCAATATTTGTGATAAAATAGTTTAATCTAATGATATGTATCATTCTACACAGTCATTGACAGATTTGACCACATTTTACATAAGATTACACAAGTAACACAAAAAACTTTCCTGCAAAGTATGACACACTGCAGTTGATGATGATGAATCAAAATGGCACATTGCATTTTTTTTCAGTTTTCTTAGGTAATTTACTATATAGTTGGTATTTGAAAAAAAACTAAATGTTTTGGTGTGATAAACTTGGGGACAGGTAAAGCTGCTGTGGAAACTTCAGTAGAAGCCATAGGATCAGTATCTTCTACAGCACAGGGGGTGGCAACAGTCATAACCATAGCTGTCATAGCCACCATAACCGCCATAACCACCATAGCCATAGTCAGAGCCATAGCCACAGCCTAGGTCACCATAGCCATAGCCCAGGCCACCATTGTAGTTGCCGTAGTAGCTCATGGTTTTAGAAGAGGAAGGTTTAGTTGAAGACCAGGAAGTAGGTATTTGAGTCTGGCTGTGATTGCCTTCCAGGGCCTCTTAGGAGAGGGTAAGGAAAACCACAGACAGTAAAGCTTTGTATTACTTCACTAACGTGCTTTGCACAAGGTCATGAATGTCTTCGTTGGAAAAACAAAGCACTCATAACAAATAATTTTGCTTCTATGTCAGAATTCCATGATCAATTTATGGGCCTTTAAAATGCATCTGTTCTATTTCTGAGGTCTGGCTCACTCTATGTTTACTCAGGTAAATACCGATAAGCTCTTCACATGGTATACTGCACCCCGTGAAAATAAGCATGTCATATTTATTTCTGTACTGTTTCATTGCCATTCCTCCATAAGGAGGTTTTTGTTTTTGTTTTCTGTGGTTGTTATTATTGATTTGGTCTTGTTGTTACAAAGATTTATTTGTAGTAACACATTTCCTCAGTATTGCTGCTGCAGGATAAGCAAGTTACTGGTTGTGCTAACTGGCAAAACTATGATGTTACTATTGATTATATTTGTACAGATTTGGCATTGATTTACAAACCCTCCACTAAATGTTTATTTCAAACTTTCCAAAAGCAAACAAAGAAAAATCCGGACACTTTTTGCACAGAAGCTCTTATACTTCTCCCCGTCACCCACCATGAAGATGTTGTGGACGAACGTGTGAAACACAGCTACATTAAGCTGGGTGCTCAGCCCTCGCCTCTGGTGGATGTTTTAAACAGAGAACTCATTTCCAACTCAGGTATCTTGCAGTTTCAGCAGTGACTTGCCTCTCTATAATCATGTGGATTCCGTTCAATAGCCTTCAAAAGAAGCCATGCATGCCTTGGAGGTCTTCAGAAGGCAGATGAAATAGTGCTGGTTCAAGAATACACAGGCAAGGAAACACTTTATTTGGTTAAAATTGTTAATGGAATTTATTAAAATATGCTTCACTAAAGATGATAGAATTAGACTTATTGTCAGGTTAAGTACAGGTCAAAGAGTGTGGTAGAAAGCTCAGTATAGATTATGTAGCATTCTTCTAACTGTTAACTATTGCAAGATTCCATAAGGAGGGAAAATGTCTCCATCCGATTCTATAGTTGCCGAGTCTCAATTTCCTCTCACCCCACAAAGCCTGCCAGCAGGTCTCGTTTTTACTGAAAACTGAAACAAGTGATGAGGAGACAGAGGTGAAAACAAACCAAAACCAAGCCTGCTCTCAGATCCCTCATGGTAGAGACAGCAGGATTCACGGATCGTTCTGAGGCATTCCACTTGGTCCGTGGACAGGGGCTCAGGGCAGAAGGGAGCTCAGCCAGTGAAATATGGTTTGAAGGAGACAGCATCTGCTATCCGGTGAAATCAGAAGATAAAGGTGATTGGAAAAAGGCATGAATGACAATTGGAGGCCAGTGAATCTTGTAGCATAAGTTGAAATGTGCAACATTTTGTAAAAATTAGGAAGTCTCTTTGCAGAGGAAAGTCTGCTGGGGGCACTCACTGCTAGGCCCCAGCATAGACAGTGCCAGCGGGCTGGGTGATGCAGTTCTCTTCAGGGACATGGCACTTGGAGCCTGAAATACTTGTCCAGGAAAGCCACGAAGCCAGTCAGTATCTGGGCACAACAGGGACAAGACAGAGACCCAGATAGCGGTGGCTCAGGGTTAGAAATGCCAAGTTCTGGGGACGGGAAAAACAAAAGGGATATGTAGAGGGCCAGGACTGAAGTTAGGGAGAAACTCAATGGGCTGCAAGGGACCCGGGACCGAAGGAGAGAGCCAGCGCTGGGGCGTGGAGAGACAGGGCCAGGCCATTCTGCCTCAGTGGAGCACCTCCCAGCTCCGGGCAGAGGAAGACTTGGGGTGGGGCTCTTGCTGCCCGTGGGGTGGGGGTCAGAGTGAAACTGCTGGCTGGTGTGACCAGAGCTGAGGTTGTGTCCTTCCAGAACCCGGATGCCATTGGAATTCTGGGTCTAAGAGTCCCTGGGTTAGTAGCAGCAGAGCCGGGATGTGGAGAGAGAAGGAATAGGAAACCCTGGTAGTAGCAGGGCTTGAGAGTCAGAGGCTGACACCTGCTAGAGGAAGCCATAGGACTGTTGCGCTATCACAGGCCTGAGAACGCCCCAGGTGATTAGCCCGGGCATTCTAAAGCAGTGTGAAGCTTCCCGAGATGCTCATCCTAAGCAATACAGTGGGGTCATTGTCTTTTTGTTTTTTCTTTTCCCTTTTGATTGATACACAGCACAGCCCAACATACAGGTGGATTATTGCATTTTTGTATATAATGTATTAATATGTGTTTCACTTGTACTAAAAGTACTTATGAATTATCTAATTAGATATATTTTACCTTGGCCCAATTTTGCTCAGCTATTGCTTTGATCCTATGAAGTGATCTTATCTACACTGTATGGATCATAGTTAAGGAGGATTTACAACAAAAAAGGGCCACCATGCTCCAATTTTCCATCACTTATACATGCAGATTTTCTCAATTAGTGAAATTGCATACAATGGCCTTCTTTGACAGTGAGACTTTGAAGATGGATACCTATATATGGGTGCATATCTCCAATTTCAGTAATGCCCCCAATTGAATAAGTGGAATTTATTGATGGTACATAGTTTACTAACTGATCTGCCATTTAAGCAAACATTGCCTTATTTAGGTGTTATCAGTGGAAGGCCTACTATGAATCAGTCACTTTTAAGGCAATGTATTTTACTAATAATATTTGTGTAATTATGCTTCTTAATATGTTTCCTCACTATAGTATTATGTACTATGAGATGCAGCATATTACAATGTCATTTGAAAATAGTAAAACATTCCTATGGAGCTCTATTAAATTGAATCATTTTAATTGGACTTTTCCAGTATCGGAACAATGGACACATACCTTCAAATTGTTTGCATTAGGATAACATGGTTTTACATCCCCATAATAGACAAAGTATAAAATGTGATCAGAATCTCATGATAAAATGCTCTACTATATGCAAAACGTTTGGGGAAAGATATATTAATACTGGGCCGGGGATTTAGCTCAGTGGTTCCACCACCTGCCTCTCAAGCACAAGGTCCTGAGTTTGATCCCCAGCACCATAAAAAAAAATTTAAAAAGATATGTTAATATATCGAGTTCACAGAAGAGATATCTTATGCAAACAAGTGAAAACTAAGATATATTTTAAAATATGCTAAATTGTAAACAAAAGTAAAAAAGAATTGTTTTTATGGGGAAACCTAAATATACATTAAATTACATTTTCTATATAATTTCCACGATTATTTGAACATTAATATTGAAACATAGTTTGTCTGTTAAGAAAATTTTAAGAAGTGAAATTTTACTGAATCATGCACTTCACACCACAGGCCCTTTTCATGTACTTGCATGTGTCCACTGCCAACTGCAAGATGGCAAATCGGGCTGTTTGGGTAAGGAGTTATTGTTGCTTTTTCCATGCTTGAAGAATTGCCATTGTTCCTGTAGCTTTATACCTGTTCAAACGTTTGATGAGTCAGAGATGCCCACGTAATGCTGGGACCAAGGTTGATCATTCTCAGCTCTTGTCTGAGAAGATGGGCACTTTGTGAATCACATCTTCAGTTCAGCGTCATTGTGCCCCGGGCTTTCCTAAGATGAGCATTTGAATAATGTAATGGAGGTAACCTTTTCTAATCCCCCATTTCTATAAGTGGGAAGGGCAAAATATGGTATTAACAAAAGAAGCACATCAAAATATTTAAGTGATGAATGTTAGCATCACATGACTACTGAGAAAAATCATCACTAAAATGGCATACCAAAACAGATCCTTGAGTTGATATATTTTATCATTTATTAAAATGCAGTTCTGTTCTATTTTACTGAAGTTTAGAAGATCCTATATAATAGTCATATGAGTCTCTCTCAGGGAGGACTACGAAACTCTCAATATGCATAATATATAATCAAAACTTTGTTGTTTATTATAACCTAGTGATATTTTAGGACTGCAGATTATCATCTTTCATTAATGTTTTTAAGAAATTTAATTATTGCTCACAGAGTGAGACTTTGAAGTTGTGGAAGATAACATTTTCAGAATATATTACTAAAGGGATTTCACAGTAAAATATAATGTAGGTACTAAAGCTAATGGAATTAAAATGATTTATCATGTTATATGGTGATTTACACATTGCATATTTCTAAGAATAATTTGTATAAATTTGCTTCCAACTTGGCCACCTATGCTTGTCTTTTGTAATGCTTTTGGAAATGCTGGCATTTCAAATATGAATAGCTGTGAGGAGAGAGTGACAAAGGAATCTTCCACACAACTGACGGTCACAGACTGAGAGCCTGAGGAGGCATCACAGAATTTTCCTTCTCTTCTTTGAATTGTAGAGGAGTAATGACAAGATGTGAGGAGGAAGGAACAAAATACAATCTACCAGGAACACACTATCATGACAAAATAGCCACAGGTGTGCATGTATGGAGCAATGCTGCTTTGTAGGCAGTGCATCATTTAAAACCTTAATGCATGTGGGTAATAATGTAGCCAGATTAGATGGAGATAATGGGAGTGAGAGTCACATGAAATGATGTATTATGAGCAATTTAGACAAAACTGGTGAACAGATATTAGCTTTTATCTTTTCTTGTAAAATATTTGAATACTTTTGTTTGATATACTTCACAAAGAAGAATAAGGTGCAAAGGCAATAAGAAATGTTTCTGCCTTCGGAACTATGCTTCTCCAATTTTTAACATCTTAGTCCATCTAAGCACATTTCACTTTATCTCCTACCTTGTGCTCCTTCTCTTACTTGTACCATCTGATTCTAGTCAATGTACATCCTAATCCTATAAATGCCATTTTTCAGTCATGTAGATACTATAGGGTTATGATGTTGACATTTCATTCGTGTAATCAGCTCCCCTCTGGCACAAGACAATCTCTTTCTCTAGGGCTTCATCTTCTC